ACTCGAATGTATTCGAATAGTATTCTTGCATTGGGGCTTCGACCCCCAGGTCCTCTGGTTTTAAGTCTGGATTGTTTTTCATGGCTTCTCTTCAGTCGCTTTCTTGTGGGCACTAGAAACATCGTCGAAGTGGCGGTGCGTATTCACTGAATCATGGATAGGACAATGGCTTGGAGGTCTGTTAAAATGGCCGTAACCGTCCTTGTTGATCTTCTTCTTGCAAGCATAGCACATCACCCAACCGCATTTTACGCAAACCATCTTGTTGCACCCATTCTCCTTGACCATCTTAACTTGGCATTTTGGATTGGGGCAAGTCCTGATAAGCGCATCGCTCATAGCCTCCTCAATCTTTGCCCTCGCAGGCAATCTCTTGTTGCAGGCCTCCTTGCAGCTCATGGGGATGTGGGATTCTTTTTCACAAAAACGGCAGCTCACCTTTTTGCACGTCGGGTTTTGGCAAGCGAACTCACTGTAATCGTCAATCGGCGGGCATATGGCCTTGAAATCACAGAAGGGGCAGTCATGGAGTCCCTCGATGTCTGCTTTTGCAATTTCGTCGAGTTGTTCAAGTTCCTCCAGCTTGTCGATCAGACTTTGGCCTAATGCCCTCCGTAATGTCTGCTTGTTGAGGCTGGCAGCGCAGCCGCTCATATCCATACACTTTACGTTGTATTTCATGATGCCAATTTGGGATTTTGCCAGAGACCTGGTACATTGCACACAGAAGAAATGGATATTATCCCCTGTGCAATATACCATTCGGTTGATTGGGTTCTCAACGTAACAACACTGGCATTCCATGAGATCGGCGGCTTCAGCGGCTAGTGCATCACCATTTCTGGCCTCCAATCTATCCAGCTCTTTTTCCCGTCGTAGCGTTGCTGAAAAGCTCCTATTAGCAAATGGGTGGGGGGCGAAGGGAGGAGCTTTATCTAGAAAGAAAGGTCGAGAGGTTCAAATACCTTCGTTTTTCTTACTTTCCACTTTCACGTCACCTAGCTCACGTGGCTGATCTAAGTCACTTGTGACCTTTGATGGAGATGGCTTCAGAGATGGCTTTAGAGATGATCCCTTCACAGATGCCTTTGGCAGTCCCTGGGCATCTTGATTTCTGTTCAGGTTTAACAAGCCCAGGAGGTGTCGTTTATAGAGAGAGTTCATCATGCTGTAAGAATGTTCAGCTTGATACGGGGTGGTATGTGCAGCGAAGGATGACTTCTGTGACTGAAAAACATAACATATATATACTCTGAAGAAAATGTTGGGGAAGTCCAGCTGCAGTAGGATGAGGTCTGGATAGTCTTCCAAGAACACAATGCGACATATCTCAACACCGCAAACTGTAATTGACTGTGAATGAAAGGATCCCCAAGAAACAGGGTGGCTGTGATTTGTAAGCTGGAAAAATAACCAACCCGGGCGCATGCTCGAAGCTTCCCGTTTGGAGAATAGCAAACAGGAAAGACCAGGACTTCCAAGATTATCCATTCCACTTACCCGTTTTGATAATACGCATCATCTCGAACAGACCCATCGTTCTTGCCCCAGCCTTTCCTAGGGCTGATATCGGATGGGGCAGCAATGGCCCCGTTGTCCACATGTTTCGCCATTTCCTCCTTGGGATACGGCCCAGAGTCGATGATTTGGTTGATCAGAGCCTCCCCAACATCAACACCAACTGCTGCACCTGATTTCTTGTACTGCATGTACAGCTGACGAGCATGTTCCAGTCTGATCTCTGGGAAGATGGCCGTAATCCGAGCACACATGGCATCTTCTGGTGGGCTAGGGGGCTGAGATGGGTGGGAAATCCCGCCATCCAATCTTTGGGCTCTCTTGGTGTCTTCTTCTTGATCGCTAGATTTCTCGATGATCTCGGGGAGCTTTCGTTTCATGGTGGATATAAGCTAACTGTGCCTAACTCTAGCTAAGGAGAAAGAGTGCGAAGGGTGTGTGTTTTGGATTACGATATATCCTTTAGGATAGAGAAAAAGGGAGATGGGTGAGTGAGATTTGAACAGCAAAGGGGGATGTATCAAAGGCTGGATGGATCCGAGCAATGGATATACAGGACTCTCGAAGTGCTCAAGTTATTGCTAACGAAGAGTGAAGTCGCAAGGCAAAATATAGCTTTCTTCTCAACTCGAGGAGGGTAAACCCACCAGCACAGGAGAGGTTTCCAGTGAGAGCCTATCTTGATATAGCATACAGACAAAAGGGCTGTCTTGCCACCTAGAAGCAGAACTAGGACACGAACTTGACAGCGCAATGCTGACTGAAGAACACAAGATCGCCTGGTATATATATAACATAGATAGATAGATAGATAGACAGATAGATAGACACACTGAAACGCGATGCGTCCGTTAACCTCTCCTGGCCGTTGAAATGCTCATCTTGATAGATTGAGGGAGGAGGCTTCCAATTCCAGACAAATTGTTGACATTTGCAAAATGATGAGTAAGTGTGTGGAAGATAAAAAAGTCAGACAGCAGATGAGAGAACAGGCAAAAGTCTCATTAGGGATATTTAAATCAAGTTCCGCTATTGCGGAGAGGCAGACTAGCTGAAGGGTTGGAGTTGGTCGTTACGGCATAGATCTATCACTGTCTGATTTGATTCCCTGGAACCAAGCCTTGCACCAGAAAGCAAGAAAATCATCGGATGGAGCTTAACCGCCAACCAGCCCATCTCCCAGGGTTGAAAAGAACCTTGTAGCTAGGCTCCTTGCTCACATTCATGGTCATTTGCTGTGCTGCGTCTGGCGTTTTGAGAGCAACAACGAACCTTTAGATGTTGAAGCGTTTGACGTCCGGCAAACTCTGGAAGGGTTTAAGGTTCGGCTTAGACCATGGGCCTCAGCTACGATCTCCCACACACATAAGCTTAGTGCTTGGTTGTGGCGGCGACACTTTTATCCGGCGCATCCTGACTCCTTGGCATTTGAGGATGACTTACTATTGGCTGTGTCCTTGGCACACAGCATGGAAGAAAGAACGGCCCGGGCGGCTTCCATCGGGAAGGAGGAATGACTAAGCGAGGAAAGGCGAGCCGGGCCTTGTGATATCATAGATCTAACTCGGCAAGTTTCACGAATCAGAAACGAGCTTTAATTTGACTTTTGAAACCTTATACAGGAACAGATTAAGGTTCAAAGTATTTACTTATGCTGGAACCTCCATTTGTTCTTCCAGCGCTCAAGCCGCTGGAAAATACATCTTCTACCTATCCATGGTAACTCCCTCAAACAGTGTGCATTCTATCAGTCCTCGAAGCGACGCGGCAGAAGTAAACACCTGCTAAAACTCAGTTCAATCATGGGGTCCGCCAACTTCTCTCTCCCTCCCGCAGACTCTCCAGACCTCACCCTCGTCATCCCAACCCCTGCAGAGCGTATCCAATGTCTGAAATCAAACAGCCTGGAATGGAAAGGCATGCTAGACCCCGAGCAATACATCCAGCGTGAGAACCATCTCATGAGCCAGGAAATGACCAAGGACGGCGCCATGACCTGCTGGATCCTAGTAGACCGCAACCTGGCCCCCGACCACCGCCCAATTCTCAGTAGTTGTGAGTCATTTGGCAAACGTGCCTTGCTAGCCTATGAGGGTAAAGTCGAGGACATCATTGCCCACGGCATCGGGAGTGTGTTTTCCAAACCCGAGTTTCGACGTCGGGGATACGCTGGGCGGATGATAACGGAGCTCTCGAATAAACTGGATACCTGGCAACAGGAGAATTCGGTACGGAAACAGAGCGTATTTTCAGTTCTTTACTCAGATATTGGCAAAACTTTCTATGCGGAGCGTGGGTGGAAAGCTTTCCCATCGTCGCACATTAGCCTTCCTGCCGTCTCGAAAGAGACCATGGATCAGGGCGTTTCGGGCGTTAATTTGGATCTGGCAAGGCCCATGCAGGCTAATGACGTTAAAAAGCTCATGTGCTCCGATGAGGTGCTCCAAAGGGATCGTCAGGTTCTCAGAGAGGCGTCTCACGGTTCCCAAAGGGCCAAGGTTGGCTTTCTCCCCGATTATGCAGCGATGAGCTGGCACTGGGCTCGAGAAGAATTCTATTCAAGGATTCTGGTTCCCGAAAGGGGAGAGCCTAAAGTTAAAGGCGCCTGTGTGGAAAGCAGCAAGGTATTCATCTGTTGGAATCGGAGCTTTGGCAGGACTGAGAAGGACAATGTCTTGTTCATTCTGCGGCTGCTATACGAGGAGCCGAAATCACCAGCTGATGAAAAAGCAGTAGCTGAGGCACTTACTGCCACGCTCTATCGCGCTCAGCTGGAGGCTCATAACTGGGGTAGAAATCGGGTAGAAATTTGGAATCCAACTCCTATCGTCGAGAAGGCGGTTAAAATGCTGTGCCCGATGGCGCAAGTCGAGCATAGAGAGAAGAGCAGCATCTGCAGTTTGAAGTGGAATGGCGCGCAACTTGGGTTAGGTGAAGACGTAGACTGGTTTTGGAATGAGAAGTTTGCCTGGTGCTGAAGCTTTACACCATCCTCTCCTTCCTGTGAATAGCGTGTTTGATCTTACTTATAGGCGGTGCCATTGAAGCCAGCTTCATTTACCTATAGACCATGGGAGGCTTATTCGTATAACTTGGTGGATGCAAAGTTCATGTTTCTTTTGTTTTTATGGCTCGCGCATTTTACACACGCAGAATATGTTGCTTTTGGTTTGGCTGTTACTATAGCGCTTCACGTCCGCCGTTTCATTCCTGGGCGGGCAGTGTTGTTTTCTGCCCTTGGTTTAAAACAAATGCTGGTCGCGTCAGGATATTGATAAGAGTCCTTCTGCATTCAGCAATTTGTTAGTTCGTTTCATTCAAATATATAATCCTCATGATGTGTTTAACTAGTCCACATAGTACAAAATACCACGAAGCATGAACTCGATGACAGGAAACTTTGCACCTACCTTCAAATTATCCCACGTAGCATCCGTCCTCCAAGTTTCCGGTAATAGATCTTTCCAATTCTCCAAGAACTCCGTGCGCCCATTCGCCAACGTTGGATCTGGTGCGTTAGCTTCGAGATAGGTTTCACCAACCCAACCCACAGTAATATTTCTGTCGAGGCTTGCCCCTGGAAAATGATGTAAATTAAGTTAGTATTGATACGTTAACCAAAAAGCAAAACACAAAGCTTCTGTCTTGAGTAGGAAAATAAACGAACCCCCGCCTTACATTTGAGCTCCTCATAAATTTCCCCTAGACCCACCGACGCCGGATCCCCCATCAACCTCCTCACCAGTGCATCAAACAATGCCTTCGGGAACCCACCATCACCACCATCATCATCTCTATCCCCATCATCCTCACCCCTCGCTGCCCTCCACAAATCCCACGCCATAAACTGCTTCCCCAATTCAATCCCCTGCAACACCGCGCCATCCAGAATCCTTTTCCACATCTGAATGCACACCACAGCCGAGGGACGCCAACACGCCAAGGGACGATGATTAATGCCGCCGCTATCCTCACCATTCATATCCGCTGCTGCATCAGGATCCCGCCGGGGATGTACAAACCCGCAAATCTCCACCCACCCCCGCTCGCACTCCGCCGGCGACAAGGGCACATCCGCGAATAATTTCCTGATAATTTGTCCCCGTTCCTTTTGTGTGACTGTTGCACTATCGGCAGAAGATAAGCCCGCACCCGCAGCGCTCATATTCACATATCCATCCCCTTCAGCATGAGTGCCACTATACACACGCAGCGATTTTTGCAGGGATGTATATGCGGAATGTGAAGTATCATCTATCTTCACGAGTTCGAGGATGCCGTTGCATTTGGCGATGGCTGTGATACAGTCTTCTCTCTTCCCTGGCTGTGCAGACGAGGACCGGTGGGAAGGTCTGATGAGGAATATTGAGTTTGAGGAATTGACTTGGCGGACCTTGTATGTTTGGGTGGTTGTGCAGAGGTGTACATAGGGATTGTTGGATGAGGAGACTTTAGAAGAGGAAGCCGGGGCGGATTTTAGGTAGAGACTGGTGAGTTTGTTGTGAGAGGGAGGAATATTAGTTTTGAACGCTTCAGGTATATATTCAAGCTTGAAGATTTTCTTTTTCCTTTCTCATCTTCATGGGGAATATTATCGAAACATACGTAGATGCGAGCTTCCCGGAAGAAGAAGAAGAAGAAGATGATGATGATGATGATGATGATGAAACTAACTCCGTCAGTTCAGGGGGTAATTCGAGTAGTTTGAAGCCTCGTTTGGTGTCAGTCTTCGTAAAGTTGACAGTTCGTCCAGTGGGCCTGGCCATGGTCAATTTACACACCCAACTAAGTATATTTGCCTGAAAATGGATATATGTTTGTAACTCATTCCGGGCCTTTCTGTTGCTGTGTGCTGTGCCTATTTGCCTGTCCGACGTTGCTGACAAAATCGACACGAACGTGGGGCTTTGTCGCGCCGTGATTTATAATTTACCTCAGGCGCGCGTCTTTTTATGGTTTTTGGCATTAAACCCTGGAACAAATTTTAGCGGACCGAACTCAAGCGCTGGAGATAGCGCGCTGGACCCTGTAAGAAAAGGGGATATTAGAAGCTGTAATTCCGTTTCTAACTAAAGGGGCCCAAAGAAAATTTCCGAGATCTAAATTACAAATTTAATGGAATTGTCCGTTTCAGTGTTAGTTACCTACGATCATGGGTGATCGCTATCTTCATTATTGCTTTCATCAAACCAGGCTAGCAAATGATACAACACCGCTTAACCGCATCCCTTGAAAATTAAATTCGCTGGAAAACAGGTATAAATCTGGTAAAAATATAGACACTGTAAAGAGAGCAAGATCTTGCATTCACTTGAAAGTGTAAATTAATCTTCTTCATCATCTTCCTATAAGAACAGTAAATAAAATGAAAAATGAACTCCAAGCAAATGTAGCTATTGTAGCTGTGAAGAACAATAGATGATCATGTATACAAGCACATAACCCCAGCACCAGAAATTGTCGATAACAATGAAATAGCGATGGATTATGACCTGTTGCATAAAATGACGCACGGCATACTTCCAAAAAAAAAAAAAAAAGGGTCTGATGAAAAACCCAAAAAAGAGAAGAATATGACAGCAAAGATGGAGGGAGTAATGGCACTCCTCATTCGGAGACATTGAAATGCCCCTTGTTTAGGTATAAAAGTCGCGGGAGAGCACGAAGACTAGAGGTGACGAATTCGACAAAAATATTAGATTCAACCTTTCTTCTTCCTTTGTGTAGTGGGTGTAGAACTCGAGATGCCACTTAAAATGCGATCAATAGTAGTGTTGTATATCAAAAACCATTTCAAAAGAACGCCCAACCCAGCAAAGCAGAAGTGAAACAAGAAAGGCAAAAGAAAAGAGAAGAAAAGAAAACGAAAAAGAAAGAAAAAAAGAGAACACTCACAAATCTCAAATCTAGCATTAAAATAAAATAGTCTGTACATCTCATTCATCTCCTTTCCACATCTTTCTTAAGCAACGCAGGCGCGCTCCATTCTCCGCCGGGTTGTTATTGCTGCTGCTGCTGCTGCTGCTGCTGCTGCTGTTGTGGTTGTTGTTTTTGACCATTACCCTCTCCTGCACCGGCGGGTCCATCTCTCTTATTCGCCTCCAGCTGCTCTTCATTCATTTTCTTAAGAAACTCTATGGCCAGGGAATCCTTCTTCCATTCGTCCGCAGTGTCCTTAAACTGTTCTCCCTCCTCGGCTTTCCCTTTCTCTTCAGCTTCCCGCATCTTGCGCTCCCGCTCCATTTCCTCCATGTGCCTGATATCGTCGAGACTAGGCTCATAAAGATGCCAGATGGTGTAGTGTGGAAGGCCAACGACAGAAAATTTCATCCTCTTGGCCATCTGTTTGTGTGCCGAACATGTTAGACGAAGTGCATGAAAGAAATAAGCAACGAAAATAAGGAATGTGAAGAGAACGTTACCTTGCCAAATGCCTCTGTCTCCGCGTGTTTTTCAAAGCTAAATGCCGGGAAATGGACGCCCGAGCGGAACACTCTAGCCTTGGCCAGAATGCTAACACCACCCACGCCATCGATTTCCATTTCCATGTCCGGATCGCCATAGGGATCCCTAAGATACGCCAAATGCGGGCGCCAAGTAGCATATTCCGCATAACCTTCCACAATAACGGCATCTTCATCTAAGGTATCTGCCAATGCCAATGCAGTCTCTGATTCCTGCCAGGAGTTCAAGTCATAGGGTTGTTCCCCGCCGAGCCAATCCGGAAGAGGTCGCCAAATGTCTAGAATAGGCACGGTTAGTTTGCATGATCACGCCAAGCCTAGAGAGTGGATACCCAACTCACTTGGTACGATAACATCCTTATTATGTCTCATCAGATCCTCCAAAATTGTAAATGGAGCCGTCTCGACATCAGCATCTCTCCAGTATACCCAGCTGTGTGTTGGGCGCAGGGTAGCACTCAGCAGCCAATTTCTCGCCTGCGCCATAAGCTTTCTTCGGGAGGCCTGCGCAGCAAATCCATGCCTGCTTTCAACATCTTGGTTGACCTTCTGCCCAAAATCTTTCTCAATCACTGAGATTTCCCCATAATGTTTTTTCGGGTCAGAATCATTCTGCAAATCGTTAAGCATTTTCATGAGGAGGGAAAGGGTGTCATCTTTCGAGTCGGAGACTAGGAAGGCGAGATCTATGAGGTGATGCGGATAGGTGAAATTGCGCAGATGTGAGAAGAACATGGGCAAATGTGGCGCGGCGTCTCGTAGAGGTGTACAGAGGAGGACTCGCTCCTCTCGTTCCCAGCCCCGGGCGGTTCCTTGAAAGTTCGACAGGTCATAATATCTGACAGTGTCCAGTTGAAATTCATCTGCTGATGAAAGTAGGCCAAAGGAAAGGGTTCCCAAGATCGCAGCTCGCCAGGAGGGGAAGATCAAAATTAAGATAACTAACGAAAGGCCACCAAGAACACATAAGCGCTGCATAAGCTGATGTCTCCGGCGCAGAGCAGAATGGGAGCGTGGTTGAAATCTTTGATTTTTGTATCAGCTACCCCCAGCTCTACCAGACAGCTCTTCCCCCCTCTCCATAATCAAGACATACCTGTGAGATGATATTGAGAACGTCCCGCTCTCCCCGTGCGGGTAGGCGGTGTAGCTACTGGCGTAGGAGGTATTCCCCTTCATATCTCCAAGACGAGCAGCATGTGTGAAAGGAAGACGTTTCGGATAGCTCGAATAATTTCACGGGATAATTTTCACAGGGGAAGCTGGGCGGCCTTGAGGACTGAGTTACAGCTGGGGAATATTGTAACCAAAGGCCACACGCGGCCTTAACAAGTCCAGTCCACCCAACCACCGATCCACGGAATGTGTATGCGATAATCGTAACGAAGGGAAGCCAAACGGAAATTTTTTTTTTGTGAACCAAAAAAAAAAAGAAAAAGAAAAAGAAAAAGAAAAAGAAAAAGAAAAAGAGGGGAAAAAAAAAATGGGGCCAGTCAAACGGTTTGGTGGAGAACGAAGCTCAAGCGTGTCGCAGGTCCCGATGGAAAAGAGGGCGAAAGAGGGTTAGGGACGAAATGAGCGTACCCAGGTAGGGGACGACTACACCTGTCAGCGGATAACACAGCTCTCTAAAGGGAGGAGAGAGAGGGGTGGGGGGAAGATGGGGGGAAGAGGAGAACAACAAAAGATGGAGATATGGTTGATGTTTGAGCAACCGGCGAGCAAACCAAACAAGCGACGGTAACGCAACAAGTGAAAGAAAAAAACAGCAACAGAACGCGGCCGGGGCTAGGATGATCCGGCTGCGGGCGGTATGACTACAAGCTTACGTCAGTGCCGAAGGGTCACAGGATAGTTTAACTAACTTAGCCAGTTGAAACCAAGTGATCAGGTTAATATTACACTGACTTATGATTCCAGTCTGGGGTTGCCTTGGATGAGGGTTTTTAGAAGAGTTGATCATGATTTAAACATGTGGGGGCCCACTTATTCAAACTATGATCAACCCTTCGGCTACTTCATCTTAAAATAATAAACACAGTCTACATAGTCAAATCTCCGTGCATATACGCGACAACATATTTCTGATTCTCTCTCCTCTCTCTTCAACCTCACCGCCCTCAACGCCAAGGTTAAGGGGAAATTAAAGGTTAAGGGTAAGGGCCTGAGAGATTGTGACAAATTCACCCCCCATCCAAAGAGCATATCGAGGGGTGTGTGAGAAGTGTGTGAGAAGTGTGTGAGATACGTGTGAGATATTGTGTGAGATATGACTGGTTGGATGTATTAGTTTTCATGGAGGTTGACCCCACAACTGGGGTATTTTTCCGGCCGAGATTTAAAACCACATTCAAACCTTTTTAAACCCACGTTCAAATGTACGCCTGTCGAGTCCAAAACTATGCATTGTTGTATTTAAATAAGTCTGAAAGGCGCCGTTGAATTGCCAAAGCCGACCCTTAGACCGCTTCTGAAACAGAATGGCGAGCCCGGAGAATAAGAAATTCCTTCATCAAAAGGATGAACCGGGATAAGCTTAACTTTTACAAAATAACTACACCCTCCGTAGGTACATCAACCCTTTACTCAGACCATGTCATCTGGCGACACACATTGTCTTCGTTTAACCACCATTCGGGAGATCTTTACTTCAGAGATAAGACATTGTTTTTGCCAAGTCCCCACTTCCCCGTCAGACCAGGAATCTATGGCTGATAGTACCCAACCAGCAACTAGTAACCCCCCCCTGGGCACTTGGCACAGTCAAAGCGACGGAATATCCACATCAAATGTCAGGAAATGCGTTCGCTCAGATCGCTACTTTTCTGCTGCAGAAAGAAACAAAAAAAAAAAAAAAAGAAAAAAAAAAGAAAAAGAAAAAAAAAATATCCAATCTCTTTGTTACGCATGAAATATATCTCCAATCCGAGTGATCTATGGCAATGAGAAGCTCTTCTGCAAATGGATCGTGTCAACAGGGACCCCCTGTTTGGCGGAACGGAGTCACCAAGCAATTTTTATCACAAAGATGGCGAGCAAGAAAAGATAGATTGTAAACGGCCTGATATTATGATAGGTGAAAATAAGCATATTGTGAGAAAATGGAAAGAGACAGAGAAAAGGGTCTATTTTGTATTTCTATTTGTGTATTTCCTTTTCATTCCCACTACCACAACCTTCTGTCCCTTCTTACTTCGAGTCCTCTTCCTTGTATTTCTTTCTTTCTTTTTCTTTTCTTTTTTTATTTCTTTTTGTTTTCTTATAAAGAAAATAATGCATATTTTTCTTCCATGGGTCATCTCATCATGCGCACGACAACAATGGATACCAAGTAGGCAGTGACCTAGTCGCCATTCGGGGAAAAAAAAAAAAAAAATATCAACCATCAACCCGCACATTCCGTCCCCACCTTGGGCCCGTGCTATTATCGCACAGTAGCTCCCTTCAAGCTCTTCACAGTACACAAACCTCCAGATTTCGTAACCAACTTCCCAACCGCAGGGGTAGCAGGCGTAGCACTAACCTCCCCTTCCTTCTCCGCCAGCTGCGGGACTTGCGTACTATCAAACGCCACTACCAAGGACTCCGTAGTCGTAAACCCAGGCTGGAAAGTTTCCCAAATCTTTTTCTTGGGATTCAGCACATTCTCCGGCTCCCCATCACTCCATCCCTCGAAGAAAACGCGTTCACCCGCATGCGCATCAGCGGGCGGGCTGACTAGTTCGACGGGTCCGGCATGCGCATCATCGCCCTTGGGCGATGCGGCCAGCACCATGGCGGCGGATTTTATCCCGCGCATCGTTACTGGTTTCAGGTTGCAAACGGCGATGATTTTGCGGTTTTGCATCTCAGCGAGCGGGATTAGGCCATTTAGTCCTGAGCAGACGGTCCGGACCGTTAGACCTGTTTCCTCGTCGACGGATGTGTTTTCGGTTCCTGGGGCGTCGCCGCAGTTGATGGTGGAGACGTAGAGGGAGTCTGCATTGGGGTGGTTAACGGCGCGGAGAATGTGGCCGACGCGGAGGTCGATGAGGGAAGGGGAGAGAAGGGGGGCTGGGGCCGCGGTTTGTTTTCGCTGCTTGGGTTGGTTTTGTTTCTTCTCTTTCTTTTCACTGGCTGCTTGATCTACGACACCTGCTGCTACGTCTTTTCCCCGCCCTACAACCAGATCCTTCTCGGCGCTGACGTTACCACCACCCTGGCCCGTGGGTTTCTTCTCCTTTTTCTTTTTTTCCTTCTCATCTCTGGGTGGTTCCACCGCTTTGGGCACAACCTTCACATCATCCACGTCAATCGCAACCTTCTCTTCCGCTGGGATCTTAAGACCAAACAATGGCGCATTCTGCACGAAATCGATATATCGTACAATATGATGATATCCATTATCGCCCGTTCTTTCATCCGGAGTCCACTTCTCCGCCACCGGTGCCAAAACAGCATAAACCGCAATATCCGCAACAGACGGCTTTGCACCCAGTAGCATCGTGCGGGTCGCTAGATGTTTGTTGAGCTTTACAAGGAACTCTGATACAGCAGTAGAGTCGGCTTTGTACAGTAACTGGGTGGTCGTCTCGATATCACGCAGCCATTGTTCCAATTCAACCTTTTCGGCATCGCTGTAAGCTTGTGAGGGGAAGACCTTGGGTGAGATCGTTTGCAGGTCTAAATCAATAGAGGTGGAGGGGACAGCGCGAGGGAATGAGCGGTATAAAAGAGAGAGGAGGGAAGTCATAGGCGCGGAGGTAGTTGCCATATTTTCGGTCCGTATGGCCTGTTGGATAGAAGGAAACGGGTTTGAAATAAATATATGATTCCTCCGAGTAGAGTAATAATAGCACGAAGTCAATAAACGGGTGGTGGCAGAAGTAGTGGATAGCAAGCGCGGATGCTGTTTTGAGAAGAAGGGCGGGGTGGTTTGTAGCCTGATAGCGAGTTGTTTCAGGGCTTCAGGAGGCCGCAGGAAACGATGGGAGGCGGTAGACTTCACCTTGACGGTTAGTCCTTCAACTGACAGGGAAGGAGTCCTATTGTAGAGATCACAAAAAGAGAGATAGAGGAGTGTCAGTGACTAATGAAATGGGAGTTTTGTATCTGATATCATTAACTTGAACATTAGCTTTGGGCAGAAAAATCGAATAAAATTTCGTCGAGTCAGAGCTTATTTAATGTGACCGACCACTAAACGCACGTTTTCACTCATCGCACGCGAATTTTACCGCACAGCGCACGTTTTTATCATATTCCCCCGAGCTTTGAACCTCACAACCATGTCAAATAACATGAAATATCGAGCTCACAGTAGCTGAATTTCTCTCTCAGAAAGGTGCAAATTACACTAAACATGGAATTCACCAGACCACTCCTATGTGATGTGTTACTCATCAGGTTACTTCAAAAAGATCGTCTTTATCTACAAAAAGAAGCTCCCAAGTTCTCAAGAAATTAAATTTTTATTATTTTAAAAAAATATTAATAACATTATATAATTTGTTTTATAATAAAAGTTTTTATTATAATTTATATATATATAATATTTAAATCATATTAAATCATATTATTTTTAAATTATTTGAAAAGATTTTTAAAAAATAATTAATTTTAAACTTTTTATTCAATTACTTGTTACTACTAATTAATAGTTAATTTATTATATGTCAGTAATCAGACAAAAAATAAAAAATAAAACTCAGTTATAGATATATTTCTATTGACGATTTATAATATTTGAATTATTAAAAATAATAGTTTAGTTTTTATTACTACATGTATAAAGATGTCAAGATTATTTAAAAATTGTTAGACTCAGCGCCAGGGCTAGGTTTATCTCCATCACGTGACCACACCCCACATGTAACCTACTGGATCAGTCATGATCTGGTCATGTGATCATGTAGGCTGTTTATAATTTGAGCAGACCCTAACATCTCTTTTTCCTTATCAATCTTAGAATTCCATTACATAGCAGTTAGCAATGCAGAGAGTTTCCTTCTTATGCAGCTTGCATTCACTCTCTAACATAATTCTAAGGTTCCCTTCTACTTTTCACTCAGGTTTCAGTAGAAAACTTAAATATTTTAGTTGAATTAAAATCTACTAGTTGGGAGTCTGATAATATATTAAATCAACTATTGAAAACAATAGCTCAATCTAATATCAGATGATCATTGCAGGCTCTCAATCTCTTGAAAGAAGTCAAAAGAACTGATGATACATTCTAATAAGATTAACTGATTAATCACATATCTCAATTAAGGAATTCAGAGAGATAATTCATTTGAACAGTGATTATGTCTATAATGAGTTAGTAATAATCTTTGATGACATCTTTGATGATGAAAAAATATTGAGAGATACAATCACACATCTGAGAACAGAATGAAACAACACTACTAATCAGATCACTGTTAAGCAAAGTTAGATTGCTAAGCTAATTGCTGAATGTGATAAACTTAATCATACTCTGATTCACATGATAGTCAGCAATCAAACAGCAAGTCAAGATGTCATTCTCTCTGAGACTGCCAGAAGGTCTGTCAGGATTGATGATTTGAAATATCTTACTGATGACAAGAAGCTGAAATTTGAACACTGACTCTTTCAGATGAAGAACAAGCTCCAGAAAAATGTTAATCATTACTCTACTGAATGCATGAGAATTGTGTACATTGAAAATCAGACTGACAGAGATACAGCACATCACATTGCACTCTGTATGAAAGAAAACTACTCTGAGTGATATCAAATTATGAAAGAGATATTTGAGCATATTAAGTTAATATATGAGAATGCTAACAAGCTGTAAAATGTCAAGAGTGATTATCACAAGCTGATTATATGCAATGAGAATAATTATTATGAATTTGTCACAAAATTCTTACACCTAATGAGTGAGGTTAAGATTGTCAAAAAAGACTATAATATAGATTTCAATGACAAGCTGTTCTTTGATTTTCAGAGAATGATAGCAGTAGTCAATGCATATGCTGAGTTTCAGAAGATTTGTGCTCAGACAGCTCACATTCATCAAACAATCAATGTTACTCAGAAGTCAAAAAGCTCACAAGAAAATGAAATTAATATTTTCAAGTAAAACATTTCACAGACCTTCAACAGTCAAACTCTCTCTAGCACTTCTACTATAAAATTCTCTATTATAAAGAAAACTATGAGCATTCATTCAGACATTCAGTGCTACTACTGCAAGAAGAAAGATCATATTGCAAGAAACTACTTTATAAAATAAAAGTCTTAACAGATGATCACTGAGCTTACAGAGAATGATATTTCTGAGTCTTCAATGAATTTGAGAAAAGAGTGAGTCTGAGAGAAGACTTCATCTCAGATAGTTCAATAGTCTGTGAGAAGTTTGATATAAAGAACTTGATTAGAAAAAAAAGCTTTAATGTATTAATCAAGTTAGTCTATAATAAAATTACTACTTCTATAAATTTTCTTGCTAATACTGAAGTGAATGATATGAATTTTATTGATATCTGATATGTTATAGAATTAGTGAGATTCTTCAATAGAAAGTTTCAAGAACTTCTGTTCAAATACCATATGAAGAGATATAACAATACTTCTGATAAAGTGATAAACTACACATTGACTCTAAATCTCTGAGTAAATGACTGAAGATTTCAGAATATTCCTCTATTGATAACAGATTTAGATCAGTACTCTGTTATTCTGAGACAAAAGTGATTGATAATACAGAATATATACTTGATATTAAAAATCAACATCTGATTTGACTGAGTAAATAGTCTATCTCTGAACAGATGATAGAGTCAATATTAAAAATAATACTATAGTCAATACTGAAGTATCTGAACTCTAAGTTTGAGTATCAGACAGATATAAAACGAAGAGAGATCAAACTGAACAAGAAGATCAGATAGAAGTATCAAATTCAACTCTGCAGATTGAAAGAAATTAGCTCAGTCATAATATCTAAAACAAGATAGAGACTAATTTGAGAGGAGATAGCATCACAAATAATGAATATGAACTTCACTGAGACTGCTTTCTTTTATAATTTTATGAAGAACAAGAACTCAATAGTCTTCATAATCAGTATGTATGAAATTGATAAACAACTTGAGAAGAAGTGAAGTTTAATGAGAGCTGAGAATGAGTCTGATGAGAAGCTGATCTGCAACTTATCAGAATGATTAAAAGATCAGAAGAACTATTTCTCAAAGAAAGCATCAAATAAATTACTTCTTTTATAAAAGAATATTGATTTTAAAATAGAACTTTAATCTCTCTATAAGATGAATCTAGAGAAATTAAAGATGATGAAGATCTATCTTAAAGTCAATCTAGCAAAAAACTTTATCATATTAAGTTCAATCTTTTATACCTTCTTAATTTTGATTATCTATAATGAGAAGAAGTTATGATTTTATATTGATTTTCACAAGCTGAATACTATAATCAAACAAGATCAGTATTTCTTATCTGTAATAAATGAGTTGATAAACTGACTCAATAGAGCAAAGTACTTTATAAAGCTGGACATTTGATAGAAATTTTATCACATCTGAATAAACTCTGAGTTTGAGAATCTGATCATCTTTAGAATCTACTATAGAATCTATAAATATTAAGTAATTCTCTTTGATCTTATAAATATTTCTATCTGCTTTTAATAGTTTATTAATAATATCTTCTTTGATTATCTGAACAAGTTTATAACAGCATTTATAGATAATCTTTTAATCTATAGCAAGAATCTGAAGAAGCACAAGCAGCAGATAAATTCAATACTAGACTGACTAAAGATAGCTGAGCTGCAAGTCAGCATTCAGAAATATGAGTTTGCAGTTCAGAGAATAAAATATTTAGAGTTTATTATTAGTACAGAAAAAATTAAGATAAACTTAGAGAAAACAGCTATCATTGTAAGATAATAGATTCTCATCACAGTTAAAGAAGTTCAGTTATTTCTAGAATTTGATAATTTCTACTGATGATTTATAAGAAACTACAGCTGAATCACAAAATTATTGTATCAGTTGATGAAGAAGACTACTTTATTTGTATAAACATTAGAATGCAAATTAGTCTTTGAAAAACTGAAGAGACAGCTGATGAAGACTTCAACACTGCATTATTATAACTTTAAATGAAAGACTCATATTGAGACTGATATCTCTGATGAAATAGTGACTGAGATACTAAGTCAAAGATTTGAAAATAATCTTTGACACTCAGTAGTCTTCTATTCAAAGTCAATGAATGATACAGAGCTTGATTATGAAGTTCATGATAAGAAAATACTGACAATAGTCTAAGTCTTATAAGAATGATGAGCAGAGCTTGAGAGACTACAATAAAAGAAATAATTCAAGATTTTTACTGATCATTATACACTGAAATACTTCATGACTATCAAAAAGCTGAATATATGTCAAGTTTACTAAACAGAGTTCTTTTCTCATTTCTACTTTGAGATCAAGTATTGATCAGACAAGGTTAATTTGCTAGCAGACACACTGAGTAGATCTGAGCAGATTAAAAGACAACAGAATAACTATATGCAGATTCTCCTAGAATCAGAGACTTTCAATTCTCAGATCACTTCTTCTACAGATATTGCTAGCATCAATTTCTCAAAGAAAGAGAATATTGCTAAATATATAGTATTTTTAAACAAGACAATTATCTCAATTGAGCTCCTGCAGCAGCAGACAGATGATGAAAATAATCTCTATACAATGAAAGATAATGTACTACAGTACAATGAAA